TAAATTACGCTGGTTAGGACATATACTGCGCATGTCACCAGGTAGATTGCTACGGTATGCGATGTTTCCCGAGACAGGTATGGGATGGAAAAAGGCATAGTTGTTTACAATAAGACCTGGCACAAGGGTATGAAAGTCCTATCCAGGAGACTCACATGGGTCCCCTTAGGCTCCCTGAGTTGGATGATCATTACCGGTGGTCAGAGATACTGAGTGATGTGGCTGAGCGTTGTAAACAGTGGGTTTCGTGCATCTCAAATTACTCGCAACATTAGTTCACTGAGGTTCTCCACTTTATCTTCAACTCTACTTTCAACTTTTTTTTCTTTCTCCTACTCGTTCATCTAGATAGGCAGTCAAAAGATCGCGAACAAAACCGATGCATAAAAGTGAATGGTTGCTGGTTGTACAAACTGAACGGGCAAATATTGAAAGTTAGGATAATATACATATTCAAAAACGAATTGTTTTCGCCGGAGAACAATATTCTTGGCACCATTTCCCCAGCGTACACACGTTTTACTACATTTTCCGATGATTCAGTGGTCTGATTGGCTCAATCCCACGTATATCCTATTCTAGTTGCACCTTATCTGTTTCGGCCCTCCAAGTCTCAGCGCTTATTGTTACCAGTTATCATCCGTAAGCAGTTAGTTCGCTATGCTAGACACACACAATGATCGGTTTCCGTTTCAGTTTTTGAAACCAATAACCGTGCACTTTCGCGCGCCGGTTGTGGTTACTGCCTTTTGGTTGCCCATTTTGATAACAGAACAAAATGAAAATTGGACTGTTGAGAGCAGATTCAAGAGGAAGATAGAGGAGGATTCATATAGACTGAGGTTGCAAGAATAATGAGTAAATGCACGAACGCCACTGTTTACGACAGCCGGCCATATCGCTCAGTGTCTCTAACCATCGGTGACCATCATCTCGGGGTCCCCAGCCAGGGAGCCTAACGAGGCCTATGTGGCTCANCGCCGTGGTAACCTATCTGGTGATATGCGTAACACATGCTCCAACCAACGTAATCTATGGAGGTCGATTATTAAAAATACAATCTGTTGTGCATACAAAAGTTCTACAACAGACGGAACAGCACACTATGATTGAAAATCACCACAACTAGTATTATTTGACAATTTTTACACTTTTGCTTCCCTTCATTCTGAGCAGGACACACAGTACGGTTCCTGGACAAGAAATGGGCGTCCTCGAACGCGGGAGACAAAACTGAATCGCGTCGACGTCTGGGCGGTGCAGCATTAGATTTACCCAAAATCCGGCGCAATCCGCTGATTGAGATCTTGGCAGTGAGTACGGGGTGCCTGAACGCATGCACCTATTGTAAAACAAAACATGCTCGAGGTGTGCTAGCCAGCTATCCGATCGATCAGTTACTGGCCCGTGCCAACCAAGCTTTTGCCGGTAGGTCAGTGCAGTCCTTGGCCCTTCCATACTCTCTCTCTCTCTCACACCCGGTCATTGTTGTTACCGTTTTTCATGTGATACAGCTGTCTGTCTGGGGAAGGCATAAAGCAAGGGGTGAAGAATGATCAGGAGAGGTATTCAGTCTCAAGCGTCGATTTTGACCTTGTATTAGAAGATCCTAATTACACTAGTTGTGTATGGACTGTCATTTTACACGCATCTGTGTCCAGATTGCATCTGCCAGCAAAATAGGATACTACAATCTTTATAACAACGAAAAAGGTCCATTATTTGCTAATGGGTGAAATAGTTCCGGTTTTCCCAGGCCAAATCAGATTAGCTTTTCTGGCGAATTCATAACCGTAGCCTTTGGCCCCCGCGAAACCTGACCTGCGGGTCAGTGGGACTGTACGTGAAAACCACAATCCTCGGGTATGACCACTCATTATTTACAAATCGATTATCGAAAAAATGAAAGCTTCATTTTCCCGTCACAAATTCCATTCAAATTCGTGACTGGAAATCTCGACTATGGATACAAACCTGCCACCCGGACACAACTACCCTACACAGTAACTGTGAGCTAAAATGCTGGTTTTTAATCCAGAATCGTCATCGATGTGCTTTTAGTTACAATGATCGATTTTGTTTTTGCTTTGATCTATTTAAGTGAAACGTGATTCGCACGCGTCCAATCGGGAAAGGTGACTATCGTATTCTGCTTCATTCTAAATGGGTTGGTTTGGGAATAAATCCTTATGTATGGAAAACATTTCTCATGGATGCGTTCAGTGACTGATATATGAACTCTCATTAGTAGATAAATAAATCCTCATCCTTCTCTTTCACACAGAGGGTGTTAAAGAGTTGTGGCTCACATCTGAAGATTTGGGTGCCTACGGACGTGATTTGGACCGACGAACTGCGGCTCTGTCTTGTCCGTCCATGGACGATCGATTCCCCCATTGTCTTACCCTGGCTGACCTACTGGCCGGATTGGTTCGACTAATCCCGCCGGGTTGTATGCTACGATTAGGAATGACCAATCCACCGTATATTTTGGAACAATTGGATGAGATAGCCGAAGTGCTCAGTCATCCCCGTGTGTATGCGTTTCTTCACATCCCCGTCCAGTCTGGTAAGTGCAGTGTGTTTACTCAATCGTATGCTTGCATAGAAATTCAACTTACACTCGTCAGTGCTTCAAAACCCCACCCCTGTTTATGACGTGATAAATAACATTCCCCGGGATCAGGCGAACTCTGCGGGTTTGAAATTCCCAATTACAGATCTATTTTCTTACACAACAGTGAATACAGTAAAAGGGGGGGGGGTAAACTCCATGATCCGAAGATGTACTGTAAGTGGGAAGGTGAGGGGAACATTCAAACTAGAACCAGCTTGTTGATTCTGCGTTTAAAGACTGGGATGTTTTACGTTGAATGGAAGATCAAAACGGGGAGAGTGTTCCACAGTTGTGTTGTTCTTGGGGAAAAAAGATGGTTGAAAGTTAGAAATGCGACACTTGGAGATAGTCACTTGAAATGGGTGACTAACTGCTTGTGCTCGGGATCTACGAGGAATAACGAGCGAGAGAGGGACAGAAGCGGAAAGTTTGTTAGAGCAAAATTCAAAGTAGTATCGATAGAATAAGGATAAGGAAGCGATTGCCCGACGGTGAGCTAGTGACTGGAAGTTCCATGTTAGGGACGGGTGGTTGATGAGACGGAATGCCTT